GCTTCGTTTTCTCGTTTTCTCGGCCCCTGCGTCGTGGTTTTGTTTTCTCGGACGCTGGTTCGTATTCTCGTTTTCTCGTTGTCTCGGCCCCCGGGTGGTGGTCGTGTATTCTCTGACCCTGCTTCGTTTTCTCGTTTCTTCATTTTCTCTGCTCCTGGGTCGTAGGCTCGCTTTCTCGATCCAAGCGCTTTCTGGTGATCTCGGCCCCTGGGTCGTGGTTTCCTCGGACCCTGGTTCGTTTGCTCCTTTTCTCGTTTTCTCGGCCCCTGGGTCGTGAGTCGTTTTCGCGTTTTGTCATTTCCATGGCTCCTGGGTCGTGGTCTCGCTTTCTCTGGGCCTGCTTCGTTTTCTCGTTTTCTCGGCCCCTGGGTCTTAGTTTTGTTTTCTCGGACGCTGGTTCGTATTCTCGTTTTCTCGTTGTCTCGGCCCCCGGGTGGTGGTCGTGTATTCTCTGACCCTGCTTCGTTTTCTCGTTTCTTCATTTTCTCTGCTCCTGGGTCGTAGGCTCGCTTTCTCGATCCAAGCGCTTTCTGGTGATCTCGGCCCCTGGGTCGTGGTTTCCTCGGACCCTGGTTCGTTTGCTCCTTTTCTCGTTTTCTCGGCCCCTGGGTCGTGAGTCGTTTTCGCGTTTTCTCATTTCCATGGCTCCTGGGTCGTGGTCTCGTTTTCTCGGGGCCTGGTTCGTTTTCTCGTTTTTTGGTTGTCTAGGCCCCTGGGTTGTGGTTTCGTTCTCTCTGTTCCGGCTTGTTTTTTTCGTTTTCTTGTTTTCTCCGCCCCTGGTTCGTAGTCTTGTTTATCTCGGGCCCTGGTCCGTTTATCGTTGTCTCGTTTTCTCGGCCCCTGGGTCGTGGTCGTGTCCTCTGGGACCCTGGTTCGTTTTCGCGATTTATGTGCTCTTGGGTCGTGGTCTCGTTTGCTCAGACTTTGGTTTGTGTTCTCGTTTTCTCGTGTTCTCGGCCCCTGGGTCGTGGTCTCGTTTTCTCGGACCATGGTTCGTGGTTTTGTTTTCTCGCTTTCTCGGTTTTTGTATTGTTGTATTGTTTTTGTTCGGGCCCTGATTCGTGATCTCGTTTTCTTGATTTCTTGGCCCTGGGTCGTGGTGTCAATTTTCCTCGGACCCTTGTTAATTTCCTTATTTTCTCGTGTTCTCGGCCCCTGGGTCGTGGTCTCGTTTTCTCTGACCCCGGTTCGGTTTCTCGTGTTCTCCGTATCTCCGCCCCTGGATTGTGGTTTTGTTTTCTCTGACCCTGGTTCGTTTTCTCGTTATCTCGTTTTGTCGGCCCCTGGGTCGTGGTCTCGTTTTCTCGGGCCCCGGTTCGTTTTCTCGTTTTCTTTTTGTCTCGGCCCCTGGGGTGTTGTCTCGTTTTCTCGGCCCCTGGTCCGTTGTCTTGTTTTCTTGTTTTGTCGGCCCCTGGGTCGTGGTCTTGTTTCTTTGATCCTGATTCGTTGTCTTGTTTTCTGTTGTTATCGTCCCCTGGGTCGGATTTTTTTTTGTCTCGGACCCTGGTTCGTTTTCTCGTTTTCATGTTTTCTCGGCCCCTGGCTCGGACCCTGGGTTGTCTCATTGTTTTCGCATTCTGTCTGCCCCTTGGTCGTGGTCTCGTTTTCTCGGACCTCGTTTCGTTTTCACGTTTTCTTGTTTTCTCGGCTCCTGGGTCGTGGTCTTCTTTTTTTGTGACCCTGGTTTTCTCGCTTTCTCAGCCCCTGGGTCGTGGTTTGGTTGTCTCGGGTCATGGTTCATTGTCTTGTTTTCCCGTTTTCTCTGCCTCTGGGTCGTGGTCTTGTTTTTTCTGACCTTGGTTCGTTTTCTCGTGTTCTCGGCACCTGGGTCGTGGTCTCGTTTCCCCTGGGTCGTGGTCTCGTTTTCTCGGGCTCCGGTTCGTTTTCTCGTTTTCTCTTTGTCTCGGCCTTGGGTTGTTGTCTCGTTTTCTCGGCCCCTGGTCCGTTGTCTTGTTTTCTTGTTTTGTCGGCCCCTGGGTCGTGGTCTTGTTTCTTTGATCCTGATTCGTTGTCTTGTTTTCTGTTGTTATCGTCCCCTGGGTCGTGGGTTTTTTCTCGGGCCCTGGTTCTTTTTCTCGTTTTCTTGTTTTTTCGGCCCCTGGCTCGGACCCTGGTTTGTTTTATCGTTTTCGCATTCTGTCTGCCCGTTGGTCGTGGTCTCGTTTTCTCGGACCCCGTTTCGTTTTCACGGTTTCTTGTTTTCTCGGCTCCTGGGTCGTGGTCTTCTTTTTTTTGACCCTGGTTTGTTTTCTGGTTTTTGTTCGGCCCCTGGGTCGTGGTTTCGTTTTCTCGGGCCATGGCTCGTTTTCTTATTTTTGTTCGTTTTCTCGGCCCTTGGGTCGTGGTCTCGTTGTTTCTTGACCCTGGTTCGTTTTCTCGTTTTCTCTGCCCCTGGGTCGTGGTCTCGTTTTCTGTGGCCCTGGTTCGTGTTCTCGTTTCTTGTTTTCTCGGCGCCTGGGTCGTGGTCCAGTTTTCTCGGACCCTGGTTCGTTTTCTCGTTGCCTCGTTTTCTCGGCCCCTGGGTCGCGGTTTCGTTTCCTCGGACGCTGGTTTGTTTTCACGTTGTTTCGTTTTCTCGGCCCCTGGTCCGAAGTCTCGTTTTCTCGGGCCCTGATTCCTTTTTTTGTTTTCTCGTTTTCTCGGCCCCTGGGTCGTGGTCTGTCTCGTTTCCTAGGACCGATATTCGTGTTTTCTCGGCCTGCGTCGTTGTCTCGTTTGCTCGGACCTTGGTTTGTTGTATTCTTTTCACGTGTTCTCGGGCCCGGGGTCATTATCGTGTTTTCTTGGACCCTGGTTCATTGTCTCGTTTTCTTGTTTTCTTGGCTTCTTGTTGTTTGTTTGTTTTCTCGGGCCCTGGTTCGTTTTCTCGTTTTCTCGGCCCTTGGGTTGTGATCTCGCTTTCTCGGGCCCTGGTTCGTTTTCTCGTTGTCTCGTTTTCTCGGCCCCTGGGTCGTGGTCTCGTTTTATCGGACCCTGGTTAGTTTTCTCGTTTTCTCGGCCCCTGGGTCGTGGTCGCGTTTTCTCGGACCGTGGTCCGTTTTGGGGGACCTTGGTTCGTTTTCTCGTTTCTCTACTCCTGGGCCGTGGTCTCGTTTTCTCGGACCCTGCTTCGTTTCCTCCTTTTCTCAGCCCCTGGGTCGTTGTCTCGTTTCCTCTGACCCTGGGTCGTCGTCGTCGTCGGTCGCGCGTCGTCCGCCGTCCGTCGTCCGTCGCTGTCTTCGTATGACCTCGTGACGACCACGACGAGGTCATGCGAAGACGGCGACGATGACGGCGACGGCGGTGACAACGACGACGAGGACGACTACGGCGTCGTACGAAGACGCCGAGCGACGGCGACGGGAACGACGACGGCGACGGGGGAGGATCGTCCGGCAGGGGGAGTTCAAGGGAGGGGGTGGTAGCTTCCAGCAGGGGGGGTTCAAAGGGGGGGGTAGCTAAGCTCCCTTTGGTAACTGGGGGAGGGGGGGGGAGCTGGAGCGGCATAAGGGGGGAACGAGCCGGGAGGGGGGGGGGGCCAAGGGGGGGAGGGGGTAGCTAAGCCCCCCCCCCCTTTGGAAAGGGGGGGAGGGGGGGGTAGCTTCCAATCGCCGAAGGGGGGGGAGGGGGGGAAGCTTCCAGGCCCTGGAATCCAGGGGCGGGCGAAACAGGGAGGGGGGGGGGGTAACTTCCAGCAGGTGGGGTTCCAGGGAGGGGGGGGGTAGCTAAGGGGGGACCCCGTCCCCCCTTTGCTCCGTCACTGTGGGCGCACTCTCTCACACATACATTACACCACGTAGATGACTTCACATATATTGTGCCACAAGTTTTACACGTTACACTCCCCATGGCTTGACCGACGGCCCCAGGAATAGTGCATGTCACGCATGGTTATGGCCCCATTGTTCATCTTAAAAATGAATGCGTACCATACCGCATCGATCCATTCTCCCCCTTCATCCCTGTCAAATTATAGTATGCGCGCGCACCTGTTTATCAACAACCATATATGTTCAAACATCCCATTACAAACGTCACAAAATCGACGCGCGCGTGGACGAGCCGCGCATGTCGTGTTCTATATAGGAAATTGCTGATTGGCCCGCAAGGATTTCATGGCCGTGGTTCCCAAGATATTTAAAACATCAATTCGTTGTTCAACGTTGTTATTCCAAATGCGCCTACTCGTGCGAGATCTCGTGATCACCACAGGTTGTTCAGCAACGCGCATGTCGAAATCGTTCGAATTCCCTCGCGCGCTTGCTGGAGAAAGGAGGCACGATCGTTGTCAAATAATACAATGCGGGCCCCTTGGGCGCGTGGGTCGCGCGCGCATGTCCTTCACCACCGACACGTAAACACGAACGCGCTGACGCGGAAGTAAGAGGAAGAGAAAACGAGATCTAGCTAGCAGTCGGGCAATTTGAATCCTTGGTTAGTGGGAGGGAACACGGTGACAGAGGATGTCGGGGAATCCTTTCCGCGTCTCCATGTCCGTTGCGCCAGGCGGCCGGACGCCCCCCATCTCGATCGTTGCGGCGGGCATTAGGTCAACACTTCGCGGGTACATGTTACGTTTATTGTGCGAAGACGGATGTACATCAGGGAAGTAACGCGGTATCGGGTTGCTGCTGGGTTGCCCCAATACAACGTTCGAAGCCCTTTCCATTCGATCTGACGTGAACCACGCGGTGGAAAAAACAATTACGGGTGTCCGGTTTGACGATTGTGGTTTTTTGATTTCCGTTTGCGGTCAAACTCTGTTGGCCAATGTTTGGTCGATCCACGCATCATCATGTTCTCTGTCTCCCTCTCTCTCTCGTTGTGTGTGTGTGTTTCTTTCCCCACTTTCGTCCCTCCCGGGGAACACGGACAATTCTAGCACGAGAGTGCCTCGAGCCTCCGCCCCGACCGTGCAGGGAGAGGGGCGGGCCGCCAAGAGACGGGGCGCTTGACCGAATCGCCGTGCCGTCTCTCCGCCCCCTCTTTCTGCAGCCCTCCGCCCCCCCCCCGACCTGCAGGCCGCGGCCGCGGCGGCCCCTACCCCGACAGCCCCGAGAGGCGCCTGCTGAGCCGCGGCGTGTACCCTGGCAGCCCCGAGGCGACGCCCACTCTTCGGGCAATGCCGCGGGGGGGATCACCGCTGGGGGTCGCCACCGGCTCCGCCTGGAAATCGGGGATCGAGGAGGAGGGATGATCGAGGATGAGGTCTTGGACGTTTCATGGTGCTTCGGGAGTACTGGTAATCTCTGCGGGGCCCTGGGCCCAGACATCCGGGGCTCGATTCTTTCGATGCGTGGACCCGTGGAGGTCTGGACAACTTCCTCGGGGCCGGCGTTTCATCCTGAGTCGTTGTTTGACGGCCGCGGGGCCCGTGGAGGGCCCCCCGCCCAGGCGGAGAGACCGCGCCATATTGCCTGCGGGGATCGAGCCCTACGCGCCGTCACGCTGGCCCCGGGCAGGCTGTGCTGCCCGGCGGAGGGGGAGGAGGAGGGGAGAAGCAGGCAGACGACGACGAACGCGCAGGGGGGAGGCCGGGGCCGGCAGGGCGGGCGGGCAGGCAGAAGCGGGGCCGGAGGAAAGGCAGGTGGAGCCTCGAATCTCCGGGGGGGCCCGCTTCCGCGAGGAGGTAGCGGCCCCCCTCAGTGGCGACCCCCTTTTCATTGCTGGGGCCCTCGATGGGGCGCGCGCGGCACTGGCCGGGGGCGGGCTTGGTCGCTAAGCGTCCGAGCTGTTGCTCCTGGCAGGACGCTCAGGGCTGGAGGCTCAGAGCGGGCAGCCAGCGGTTAGTTAGACTGGGCTTCAGGCCGAGCAGCGCAGGAAGCATCACGGTCAGGAAGTGTGGCTTATCGTGTCGTTCTGCGGGTTCTGGCCATCCATGATTCGGAGCGAGACGCTATCCGCGTGGTCCCTTAGCGTCAACGTCCCGAGTCTTTCCCAGCCTCCCGCAGAGCGGAGCGACTCGCAATCCGCTTCCCTCCCCATCCTTCTCTCCCTGGCCGTGATGTGGCGGGTGCCGTTGGGCCCCTCCCCACCTCGAGGTTGCTGGATCGAAGTCGTTTGTTCTTAATTTCACGCGCTCTTAACTCTGAGCAGGGGTGTAGGTTGCTCCTGGTGGCCCCACTCCCCTCCCGAGCTATCTACCTTCGAGCAGGTGCCGCTCAGCCCCTCGCTCTTACGTCGGGGCCAAAAGAGGTGCTGATTGGGCCTGTGCGCTTGTGCGCCTGCCCACCTCCAACAGTGATAGCTTGACTGGTCTGACGAGTTGGCCTAAGCCCCGACTGTAACCCACTGGTCCCACTGTTCCGTCTGCATTGCTCCTTCTCCCCCTCCTGCTGCCCCCCTCCCTTCCCTCCTCAATGCCCGCCCCCCTCCTCCCTCCTCGTGCCCGTCCTGTGCTGCCCCCCGCCGCTCTCCAAGGGGGTATGGGGGAGGAGGAGGAGGAGGGGGAGGGGGAGGGGGAGGGGGAGGGGGAGGGGGAGGAGGAGGAGGAGGAGGAGGAGCAGGAGGAGCAGGAGGACGGCGACAGCAGGGAGGCATCGCACAGGGGGGGAGGGGCACCGCCACCTCCAGGGGAAGCGCGCCATCTCGCCGAGCGCCGTGCCCGCCCCACAGGCGGCCTGGCTGCTGGCTGGCGCGGATCGGGACCCGCGCCTCCCCGCGGGGGGGGGGGCGGGGAGAGAGGGGGGGGGTTGGAGCCAGCTGGTCGGCATAAACGAAATTGGTACGGAAATAATGGGTACAACGCCCAACAGCAGTTCCTGATCATTTTGAACAGGACTCGCTGTCCGCGCCGCCGCGGCCTGTGTCCATTTGAGACAGAAGGCCGCTTGCCCAACAGCGGCCGCTGCTGGTTTGGGACAACGCTCGTTGTCGGGCATTGTGCCCATTCTTTCCGTACGCATTTCGGGCGTCCAAAGCTGGGGCCTTGAGGCGGCCGAGCATTGGTTCCGGCGGGCAGGCCATGGGGGGGGGAAGGTTCGAAGCGTTGGGTTCGAGGCGTCTTGTTTGTTTTTTCGGCGGCCGTTCGGGACCCTGGGGCCAACAAAAACGGATGCGAGAGGAAAAACTCCAGACGGACCGGAGGGCTCCAGGGACAGATTTTGAGCGGGTGTGCTTTTTATGATGTTCCAACCTACTTTAGCCTTGATCACCAGACAGAATTTCGAGCACCGAGAAAATACCGAAACTTGAGGGTTTTCACGTGTCGTGCCCTGGTAGGCGACACTCGTTCGACACTGTGTCGACACTTTTGTGGGGTGCTCGAAATTATTACCTAACAGCGAAGGCTGATAGGTTTCTAGTGGTCCCAAAAGAGAGCATCATGACTCCCAAGGGGGGTCCGGGCAGGATCCGGGGAGAATCCGCGGATCCGCCAGTGACTATGGGGAACGCACCACTGAGGCTGAGGCTGAGGCTGAGGCCCCCAGCGCCGCCAGTGACTATGGGGAATGCACCACTGAGGCTGAGGCTGAGGCCCCCAGCGCCGCCAGTGACTATGGGGAACGCACCACTGAGGCTGAGGCTGAGGCCCCCAGCGCCGCCAGTGACTATGGGGAATCCACCACTGAGGCTGATGCTGCGGCCCCCAGCGCCGCCAGTGACTATGGGGAATCCACCGCTGAGGCTGAGGCTGGGGCTGAGGCTGAGGCAGGCTGAGGCTGAGGCTGAGGCAGGCTGAAGCCGAGGCTGAGGCTGAGGTTGAGGCTGAGGCTGAGGCTGAGGCTGCGGCTGATGCAGGCTGAGGCTGATGCAGGCTGAGGCTGAGGCAGGCTGAGGCTGAGGCCGAGGCTGACGCAGGCTGATGCGGAGGCAGGCTGAGGCTGAGGCTGAGGTTGCAGCTGAGGCTGAGGCTGAGGCAGGCTGAGGCAGACGCTGAGGCAGGCAGACGCTGAGGCAGGCTGATGCTGAGGCAGGCTGAGGCTGAGGCTCATGCTGAGGCAGGCTGAGGCTGAGGCAGGCTGAGGCTGAGGCCGAGGCTGAAGGCAGACTAAGGCTGCACATGCTGAGGCAGGCTGATGCTGAGGCTGAGGCAGGCTGAGGCTGATGCAGGCTGAGGCTGAAGCCGAGGCTGAAGGCAGACTGAGGCTGAGGCTGAAGCAGGCTGAGGCTGAGGCAGGCTGAGGCTGAGGCTGAGGCAGGCTGATGCTGAGGCAGGCTGAAGCCGAGGCTGAGGCTGAGGTTGAGGCTGAGGCTGAGGCTGAGGCCGAGGCTGAAGGCAGACTGAGGCTGAGGCTGAAGCAGGCTGAGGCTAAGGCTGAGGCAGGCTGAGGCTGAGGCTGAGGCAGGCTGAGGCTGAGGCAGGCTGAGGCTGAGGCTGAGGCAGGCTCATGCTGAGGAAGGCTGAGGCTGAGGCTGAGGCTGATGCAGGCTGAGGCTGAGGCAGGCTGAGGCAGGCTGAGGCTGAGGCCGAGGCTGAAGGCAGACTAAGGCTGCACACGCTGAGGCAGGCTGAGGCTAAGGCTGAAGCAGGCTGAGGCTGAGGCTAAGGCAGGCTGAGGCTGAGGCTGAGGCAGGCTGAGGCTGAGGCTGAGGCAGGCTGATGCGGAGGCAGGCTGAGGCTGAGGCTCAGGCTGATGCAGGCTGAGGCTGAGGCAGGCTGAGGCTGAGGCCGAGGCTGAAGGCAGATTGAGGCTGAGGCTGAAGCAGGCTGAGGCTGAGGCAGAGGCAGGCTGAGGTTGAGGCTGAGGCAGGCTTATGCTGAGGCAGAGGCAGGCTGAGGCTGAGGCTGATGCAGGCTGAGGCTGATGCAGCCTGAGGCTGAGGCAGCCTGGAGCTGAGGCCGAGGCTGAAGGCAAACTGTGGCTGAGGCTGAAGCAGGCTGAGGCTGAGGCTGAGGCAGGCTGAGGCTGAGGCCGAGGCAGGCTCATGCTGAGGCAGGCTGAGGCTGAGGCTGAGGCTGAGGCTCATGCAGGCTGAGGCTGAGCAGGCTGAGGCTGAGGCTGAGGCAGGCTGAGGCTGAGGCTGAGGCTGAGGCTGAGGCCGAGGCTGAAGGCAGACTGAGGCTGAGCCTGAAGCAGGCTGAGGCTGAGGCTGAGGCAGGCTGAGGCTGAGGCTGAGGCAGGCTGATGCTGAGGCAGGCTGAGGCTGAGGCTGAGGCTGAGGCTGAGGCTGAGGCAGGCTGATGAGGCTGAGGCTGAGGCTGAGGCTGAGGCTGAGGCTGAGGCTGAGGCAGGCTGAGGCTGAGGCTGAGGCTGAGGCTGAGGCTGAGGCTGAGGCTGATGAGGCAGACTGAGGCTGAGGCTGAAGCAGGCTGAGGCTGAGGCAGAGGCAGGCTGAGGCTGAGGCTGAGGCAGGCTGATGCTGAGGCAGGCTGAGGCTGAGGCTGAGGCTGATGCAGGCTGAGGCTGAGGCTGAGGCTGAGGCCGAGGCTGAAGGCAGACTGATGCTGAGGCTGAAGCAGGCTGAGGCTGAGGCTGAGGCAGGCTGAGGCTGAGGCAGGCTGAGGCTGAGGCTGAGGCAGGCTGAGGCTGAGGCTGTGACTGCGACTGCCGTTGCCACTGCGACTGTCATCGCGAATGCGATTACGACTGCGAGAACAGCAGAATTCTACAACTGGATTCTCATCTGAATCTTAAGGGGGATGCTTCCAGATATACTCCTACACATCGTTGTTAGGTTGCTTTGCCGGGACCATTTTTCGATGTGGCCCTTAAGTACGCTTGGAGCAACATTACCTTATCCCCACTTCCTGACAGATGTTTGTTAGGGCCCTTCCAGTTGAGACCCCTCGGCATCCTCCAGGGGGGGAGGGCAAGCTATGGTTAAGTCGGGCGTGTTCTTTTTGCATGTGGATTATTCAGAAATAGAAAAACAGTCGGTGGACGTTTAAAAAAAAATCGTTGAGCATGTTGGGGGTATCTCCCCAGTTGTTTCGTGGGGTGATAGTTTTCCTTTCTGCCGCGTCTCACCCGCGTTCCTCATGCTCCTCCTTTCTCTGCGTCTCGCGCCCACAACCCATGCACGGCACGTGCATCAGACACGCGTCTACATGCAGCCGCATGCATGCACACTGTGGCACATACACACACACAACATACACCATACAACGCTGGTGCACGCCTGGCGTTTTCACTGCATCATACTCCCAATACGTGTGTGAGTGCTATCAGTTTCGGGCGCGCAATGCGTGGCAGGCGCGGCACATCCTCGACACCACAGGAGGTGAGCTGGGGGTGGGAGCGCTATCCGCTTCAGGCTCGCAGGGCGTGGCAGGCGTGGCACTTCCTCGGCACCACAGGGGGTGAGCTGGGGGTGGGAGCGCTATCCGTTTCGGGCTCGCAAAGCGTGGCAGGCGTGGCATTTCCTCGACACGTCAGGGGATCCGCTAGGGGTCGGAGTGTTGCCCACTTCGTGCTCGCAAAGCGCGGCGGGCGTGGCATTTCCTCGATACCACAGGGAGTGCACAAAGCGTGGTAGGCGTGGCATCTTCTTGATACCACAAGGGGCTGTGTTGTGGGTGGGAGCGCTATCCGTGTCGGGCTCGCAAGTCGCGGGTTCGCAAAGCGTTGGCAGGCGTGGCGCATCCTCGACACCACAAGGGGGCGAGCTGGGTGTGGGAGCGCTATCCGTTTCAGGCTCGCAAAGCGTGGCAGGCGTCGCACTTACTCGACACCACAGGGGGTGAGCTGGGGCTGGGAGCGCTATCCGCTTCGGGCTCGCAAAGCGTGACAAGCGTGGCATGTCGTCCACACCACAGGGGATGCGCTGGGGGTGGGAGCGCTATCTGTTTGGGGCTTGCATAGCGTGGCAGGCGTGGCACTTCCTCGACACCACAGAGGGCGAACCGGGGCTGGGAGCGCTATCCGTTTCTTATTCGCAAAGCGTGGCAGGCGTGGCATTTCCTCGACACCACACGGGGTGAGTTGGGGTGGGAGCGCTATCCGTGTCGGGCTCGCAAAGCGTGGCAGGCGTGGCATTTCCTCGACAAGTCAGGGGACCCGCTAGGGGTGGGAGTGCTGTCCACTTCGTGCTCCCAAAGCGTCGCAGGCGTGGCACTTCCTCGACACCACAGCGAGTGCGCAAAACGTGGCAGGCGTGGCATCTCCTTGACACCACAAGGGGCTGCGCTGGGGCTGGGGGCGCTATCCGTGTCGGGCTCGCAAAGCGTTGGCAGGCGCGGCACATCCTCGACACCACAGGGGGCGAGCTGGGTGTGGGAGCGCTATCCGCTTCGGGCTCGCAAAACGTGGCAGGCGTGGCATTTCCTCGACACCACAAGGGGGCGAGCTGGGGGGGGGGAACGCTATCCGCTTCAGGTTAGCAAAGCGTGGCAGGCGTGGCATTTCCTCGACACCTCACATGATGCGCTGGGGGTGGGAGCGCTATCTGCTTTGTGGCACATCCTCGAAACCACAGAGGGGAGCTGGGGCTGGGAGCGCTATCCGTGTCGGGCTCGCAAAGCGTTGGCAGGCGCGGCACTTCCTCGACACCACAGGGGGGGAGCTGGGGGTGGGAGCGCTATCCGTTTCGGGCTCGCAGAGCGTGGCAGGCGTGGCATTTCTTCGACCGTCAGGGGACCCGCTAGGGGTGGGAGTGTTGCCCACTTCGTGCTCGCAAAGCGTGGCAGGCGTTGCATTTCTTCGAAACCACAGGGAGTGCGCAACGCGAGGCAGCCGTGGCATCTCCTCGACACCACAGGGGCTGCGCTGTGGG